GCCGCCCGCCCGGGCCCATGTCGCATTACAGCCCCCCTAGGGGTGGGGGGGGCCCCCGGAAAACCCCCCCCCCTGATTTTTTTCCGCTTTTGGGCATGGGGTACATGGGCCCCCTTGCCAAGGGTTTTTTTGCCCCAAGAGGGGGATGCCCCCCCCCCCCCCTGGTACTAATTGTCATCAACTGTGCTTCATAAGCCCTCACCACCTCCTCCCATGCTGTCCTCCTCGTTTCTTGACGTAGGTTCCGGCATTCATGCCCACGCATGTGTGGCCGAGGGAAGGGGAGCAGCCCTGCCGGCAGGACGAAGCAGCGATAGATGCAGCGATAGATGACTTCCTGTCGGAAGCCCACGCGGCCGCACCCATCTTCGCCGGCATGGTTGTGGAGATCATGCCGGAGACCTCCTCCGCACCGCCCGATATCCGCAAGAGGTGGTGGGGGCTTGTAGGGACCAACAACAAGGCCGTGACGAGACAGGGCGGTGGGGGGGCGGGAACCGGCGATCACGGCGATCGGGTGATGCTCGGAGCACCCCGTACGGGGACGAGGGCGATACCCGTGGAACGATCGCGGGTGGCGGAAGTCCATCGTGTTCCACGTGAGGGTCCTGGACGCATGGGCTGCGGCGGACAGCAAAGGTGTGTGGATGGCATTGGTCTTTTACACGCGTTTCGTCTCGTTGTATAGACGCACCTATGCAAACAATCGAGCTCCACGGACTGGGGTTTGCCTACCCGCGGTGGAATTCCAGACTCCACCGAGTCGGACTTGGAACACGTTTGAGGTATCACCGGAGCTTGAAGTGAATACCCCGACGTTCGGCCGATTTCGCCTGCGAGAGAATGGCTTCAAGCGCTGGGTTATTTACATGCGATCTGGTGCATCATGAATACGCGCCTGTGCCAACGTGATTCTGACACTAGATTGTTTCTCTACCAGAGCAGCATTCGTGAGACGTAAGCAGTACCCCTGGTCTGACAAAGTCGTCGACGGCATGGGTGGATGCATGGGGCGACAGTGAAGCTACGTTCGACGTCCTCACCGAGGGATGCCGTTGCACCGGTGGCGGGGGTCCTCCAGATGAGGGAACGTTTTGCCCTTGGACAAGTTGACGGTGCGCTTTGTCCCCCTGTCGTAGAAGGCGTCCAACGACAGCAGCTTCGGCGCAAGCTGGAGCGCCGCGCTCACTTCGCCGGCTTGGGCCTCGACCTCCTTCCTGTAAGCCTCGTGAGCCTCCGCCG